TGATGGATCAGTGGAATAGGTTAAGTATGCAAGACACAGTAGTCAATGACTATAGTAATCTATTATTTGATGAACCCAAAGACCCCAGCTTCTGGGATAACAACCCACTCTTTGAAAAAAACTGCTGGGAAAACTGGAAAAGAGTATGGCAGAAACTAGGCATAGACCAAAATCTCACACCATATACCAAAATAAAGTCAAAATGGGTACATGATTTAGATATAAAGGCTGATACTACAAGCAAACTGAGAAAGCAAGGAATAGTTTACCTGTCAGGTCTATGGAGAACAGAAGAATTCATGACCAAACAGGAGATAGAGAACATTATGAAAAGCAAAATAGATAATTTTGATTACATTAAATTGAAAACTTTTTGCACAAACAAAGCCAATGCAACTAAGATTAGAAGGAAGATAGAAAATTGGGAAAGAATTTTTACAACCAGTCTCTCTGTTAAGGACCTCATTTCTAAAATATATAGAGAATTAAGTCAAATTTATAAAAATACAAGCCATTCTCCAATTGATAAGTGGTCAAAGGATATGAACAGACAGTTCTCAGATGAAGAAATTAAAGCCATCTATAGCCATATGAAAAAATGCTCTAAATCACTATTGGTTAGAGAAATGGAAATCTGAGGTACCACATCACACCTATCAGAATGGCCAACATGACAAAACAGGAAAATGATAAATGTTGGAAAAGATGTGGGAAAATTGGAACACTAATGCATTGTTGGTGTTGTGAAATGATCCAACCATTTTAGAGTGCGATTTGGAACTATGCCCAAAGGGCTATAAAAATGTGCATACCCTTTGACCCAGCAATAGCACTTCTAGGGCTATATCCCAAAGAGATCATACAAATGGGAAAAGGACCTACATGTACAAAAATATTCATAGCAGCTCTTTTTGTGGTGGCAAAGAATTGGAAATTGAGAGGATGCCCATCAATTGGGGAATGGCTGAGCAAGCTGTAGTATATGAATGTGATGGAATACTATTGTGCTATAAGAAATGATGAACAGGCAGACTTCAGAAAAACCTGGAAAGACTTGTATGGTCTGATGCTGAGTGAAGTGAGCAGAACCAAGAGAACATTGTACACGATAACAGCCATGTTGTGTGATGACTAATGTTGATAAACTTAACCCTTCCCAGCAGTACAAGGATCTAAGACATCTGCAGAGGCCTTGTGATGGAAAATGCTATCCACACCCAAATAAAGAGCTATGGAAGCCGAATTGTTATTTTTTTTCTCTTCTGTTGAGTTTTGTTTCCTCTGTCTGATGGTTCCTCCTATTGGTTTTAATTTCTACTTACAACGTCACTAATGTGAAAATATGTTTAATATGAATGTAAATGTATAGCCTATATCAGATTGTGCGCCATCTTGGGGAGGGTGGTGGGGAGGAAGGGGGAGAAAAATTTTAAACTCAAAAGCATATGGAAGCGATTGTTGATAAATCAAAATAAATTAATAAAAAAAAAGAATAATCATTAGTGACACGTCAATAGCAACATCCCATTCATTCCACACTCAAGATTCATGTTGTTAGGCCATGCTGATTTGAATGTGTTCAGCTTTCCAAAATATGCATCGCAACCATTTTTATTCCTATTTCATCTTAATTGGGTGATATCCTTTATTGACCAAGTGCTAATGGTATCCAAGATATTTTCTTTCCTTATTCAAGAGCTGGTCTGCAGTGTGATTTATTTTTCATTTGTTCAATAAGATTGTATTTTATTTTCATCATTGTGTGTATACTTAACAATGTAAGATTTGGCTTTTTAAGCAAGATAAATCTATTTTGTAACATTAAAAAAAATAAATAAATATTTTAAAAAGTAACAGCAACAAAGTAACATAATCAAAAAACAAAAGAAAATATCAGAAGAGAACTTAGAAGCAAAAGGTGCACATTATTAATATCTTAAGTAATATACTTATGTTAAAAGGGAGAATGATTCATGCAAGTGAGGCAGGAGAATGCCTGCTTAAGAGATGACAATCTTCAATGAACACAAGAGGAATAACTGACCTGTACTAAGGTAACAACATTCTCAGACAGTTACATTTCAGTAAAGAGATACATAAAAAAAGTAGCTTCTTGAGATAAAAAAAAATGAAGTTTGAAAGTCTCAGCTCCTCTCAATAGGCCTGAGAGGCTTTGACAGGTCACTTTGTCCAATATTTACAAGAGCTCTGACCTAAAATAACCAACAAATCACTATTCTGAAATGACCCATATGTTTGGCTTTTATGTAGTCACCTGAACAGATGCTTCTTGGAATATCTGCCTTCTGCATCCAAGATGCTTCCTTTCTTTCCAACTGGTAGATCACATCTGGTTTAGAAACTGCAAATCCTGTTCATTGAAAAGGAAAAAGTGCTAGGGAGTTATCTCAGAGTTCCATCATATATAGATGAAATATTCCATCCCAATCTTAGTAGAAAGGTGGAGGAATAAGGGTGCTGAATGTATCTTACACTACCAAGAGCACTATGTTAGCTGATTTTGTCTGAGACTTTTGTCTTTCAAACATGTGGGGCTTAATGGGCTGGGTGGAGAGAAAAGAATGGTTTCCTCTTTTTTTTGTTGTTTCAGAGGGAAGAGAAATCACATATTTTAAAAAACCATCCATAAAACTTAATAAAAGAATTCAAAACTAGTTTAAGCCCTCTTTGGGTAAAAAGAAGGCATGCTAGGAAGCCCTCACGGATGTACAAAGGACCACCAAAGGATGTAATACATTATGGTAGAATGAATTACTGAGTAGGAGTTGGGAAAAAAATAGTTCATTTGACTCATTGCCTGCTTAGATAGTGGTGATATTTTATATGATGAAATTTACCTTGGGATTAAAAAGAAAATCTTGGATTTGAAGCAACAGAGAGGGGAAAATATATTCTCAAGGATGACAATTCAAGAAATCAATTTCCAGGAATACTATGCAAAGATCTTTTTTTTTTGGAAACAAGTAGCACAAGTAATCTGTCTCTTGGCTACCAAAAGATTAGTAATATTTTCCTCTTGTACGCCAAAGAATAACTGTTAAAATCTTGAAAGTTGTCATAGTATACTTCAAGACTTCAAAGGGGTAGCTGTTCTTACCCAAAGAGACCAAGTTCCTGTAGTTCTCCAGCATCATATATCTATACAACTTTTTCTGAGATGAGTTCAATTGTACCCACTCCTCTGGAGTGAAATCCACAGCCACATCCTTGAATGTGACTGATTCCTGAAATAACAAAACATTTGTGTTTATCCAGTCACAGCTCTGTTATGAAGTTCAAATGTAAACTGCTTGCCAGTAGGGTGAGGGAATTGAGCGCTTCAGGACAGCAAGTGGTGCAGGATATTGAGGTCTCAGTTTGTTCTACAAATGTCATGCCTTGCTTAATATAAAACGGATATACCCAAAACACTGAACCTTTGTTTCCCCAGTCATTTCATCTTTTACTTGCCAAAAGGGACTGACTCATGTATTTACTTATTTATAGCTCAGTACAGCACCTGGTATATGACAGCCACTTACGAATTCCTCAGATAGAAGTGATAAATACAAGTAGGTATAGAATGATTTTACATACATACATACACACACACACACACACACACTCCTGTCTAATAGTAGCCATCTATAGGGCTGGAGGAAAGAAGGGAAAGACATTTATATGAAAATTTTATTATATATTTAAAAGAAGTAGGAAGTTGTACATAATAGACTTGTAGTTTCATGTGCAATCATCTTTTTTTAATCATACTATGTTTCTAGAATGCTTGTTTTATTCCATAAATTAAAAATTAAATGAATAAAAAATGTTAGAAAAGAATTCCTCTCTGATTACTCTGTAAGCTCCTTAAGGGCAGGAGTCATTGCCATCCTTTGTATCTTCAACTTTTAGCACAATGCCTGGCAATTTGTAGGTGCTTAATTAATGCTTATTGCTGTAAATGATTCTAAAAAGACAAATTTTAAATGTGTTTTTTTACTTCTGCCCTCTGAGATTAAGCAGTAATATGGCTAAATCCTTTTCTACTTGCTAAAATAAGCAATGAAAATGGAATAGTTAAAGATAGCTATCAAGGTCCTAAGGCTTCTCTTCTGATCTGAACATGCCCATTTCCTTTGACCAATCAGCCTGATCTCTTCACAACTAAGGCAGTTCCCCTCCTCTTTTCATCCAATCGCTGTGCTTCCTGAAATGTGCAGCTCTGAAATGAACGTGATTGTGTTCAATGCTCCTGGAACCCTAAGAGTAAAGGCAAGCACAGGGGACTACAATCTCCTGTCTGTAACCGCATTGAACAATTTTTGACTGCTAAAAAAGGTGTTAAAGAACCATAACTTTCCAATTTACTCATTATACATTAGGGAAGTGAGGACCAGAGAGAGAAAGTGACTTGCATAAGGTCAAAAGGGGAGTAAATGGTAGATGAGCACAGTTTGAGCCCAAGTCCTTCTGACTATTCTCACTGAACCATGTTGCCATTCACTTTCTGTATAACCAGAGTAAGGCCAGAGCAGAGGCTTTGCACAAAAACATTCATGAGAGCACTCTTTGGGGCAGCAAAGAACTGGAAACAAACTGAATTCTCGCCAGTAAAGGACAGCTAGGAAAAAATGGCAGATGAATCACACTGTCACTTATATAGGTAAAAAGGACAAACATGGAGAATTCTGAACAACATTGGAAGCTATGCATTAACTGACCCAGTAAACAAGCAGACCCAACAGAACATAATGCAAAAAATTACAAAAATACAATTTTCTTAAAAACAAGGAAAAAGATGTTGAACTCCAAGTAACTGAAGAAAGGAGTTGAACATATTACTTATCAGACTTATGGACAGGTGAACAATTTATAAATAAACAAGAGATAGCAAAGCTAGGTATAAATATTGATTACATTAAATTAAAAAGGATTTCTAAAAATAAAACAAATACAGCCAAGATCAGAAGGCAAGCAGATAATTGAGGATATATTTCATGTTTGTTCCCAGGGCTTCATCTAGCAAGTGGAGAAACCTAACAATAGTTTAGAGTACAAGTTCATTTTCAAACCATGGGAAGATTGTGACAAAATAGCAAAAAAAGAAAATCATTGGGTTTGGGAGGTGGGAAAAAGAAGGTAAAAGAGCTTAGCATATGTCCTATGAACCCAGCCGGAGAGGCAGGAAAACATACGTGAAATGGATCAGATCTCACCAATGATGATGATGATCCATATGATGATGACAGAGTCTACATTTAAACCTAACTACCATTATGTAAGGGCAGGGTGGGTTCAGGGAAGACTAGTACTTCTGTCGTGAGGGCTTGTATGCCTAACCAAAAGGGAGTCAACAGACTCATGACAATGCAATTGCCACTTGCAGGACAACACCACACCGCCATCATCACTGCCTATGGTTCCACCATGATGAACCCTGATGAGGTCAGAGAAAAATGTTATGAACATCTGGAGACCCTTATCATCAACGTGCCAAAAGAGGACAAACTTCTAATTCTGAGTGACTGTAAAGCTTTAATGCTAGAATAGGCACAGACTACCAGACAAGGCAAGGAGTCCTTGGGAGGTATGCAGTTGGAAAAACAGCAGTGGGCACTTACTACTGAAAAATTGTGTATCTCATCACCTTCTTATCACCACCGTCTTCCACTTGCTAAACACAATAAAACATCCTAGATGTACCCTCCACAGCAAACACTGACATTTAATAGACCATGTGATGGTAAGGAGAAGAGACAGAGAGGATGTGAGAGTGATGAAGGCAATGTATGGTGCATATTGCTGGACTGATCATAGACTTATCCTTTCCAGATTAAACATTCCTCAATGAGAACACAAAAGCCAAAGAAGATATAATTTGTATAGCTTTCTCGCAGGTATCCCTTGATATCACCATCATCCCCAAAACCCTGAAACATGGTCTTCACTATTCTCTGATCTTGCCTCCAAACTATTTAAATCTTTTTCTAACATTTATCACCAGAATAATTTCTTTCAGGGTTTGTTGTCTCTCCATTATGTTTTTATATTGATCTATTTCTTTTTTTATTCATATTCAATTAATGGTAACTAAAAACATCTTTATTCTCATGATTAGTTTCGCTTCAAGTCAAATGACTATTAAAAACGATAGCTAACTCTCAAATGCAAGCCTTCTGATACAAAATCTAGTCTTCTTTTCTTTGTACTTTGCTGCCTCTTGAAACTCTCTAATTTAATTCACTGTATCACAGCATTTACCCAATAGGCAGATATGAATCAAGAACTTGAGTCTTACACCCTTACTCCACATTAGATAAAAATGTATGATATACGAGGGTACTAGGAGGAAGGAACACCTATACCAGAAGGGATTCTTCTCATCTTTCCTCCTCCAGTCTAAGGAAGTAGGGCCACCCTTAACAAAAATCTATTTTCTACTACTACCACTTCCCCCTCCACATTAGGGGGAAAAAAGATAGGCAAAATCCTTCTACTAACAACTCACAGGCAAGCAAAACAAAGTCCCACATTGGCCATGTCCAAATTATGAGGAAAGCTGAGTGCCACAGAATGGATGCTTTTGAATTGTGGTGCTGGGGAATACTTTTAAGATTCCCTTGGAAAGCAAAGAGGTCACATCTGTCAGTCCTTAAAGAAATTAATTCAGATTATTCACTGGAATGTCAAGTAGAAAAGTCAATCACATAAATATCAGAAGGTGGGTAGCATATTTCATCAGGAATCCTCTTGAAAACAATGGGTGGTCATTGTGTTACTCAGTTTTTAAATCTTTCAGAGTTTTTTGTACTCACAATATTGTCAGTGGATAAATTTTTCTCTTGCTCTGCTTACTTCATTCTGCACTGATTCATGCAAGTCTTCCAAGGGTTCTATGAAGAAGTTCCTTGTGTGATTTCTTATATTATGATATTTTGATGTTATTTGATATTTTAATGTAATTTTGATTACATTAAATTAAAAAGGTTCTATAGAGGGGCAGCTAGGTGGCGCAGTGGATACAGCACAGGCCCTGAAGTCAGGAGGACCTGAGTTCAAATCCGGCCTCAGACCAACACTTGACACTTACTAGCTGTGTGACCCTGGGCAAGTCATTTAACCCCAATTGCCTTAACAAAAAAAAAAAAAGGTTCTATATAAATAAAACGAAAACAGTCAAGATTAGAAGCAAAGCAGAAAATTGGGGGAAAATTTATACAGACACTTTATTAAAGGTCTCATATCTAAAATATATAAAGAAATTTGTCAAACCTCTAAGAACAGGAATCATTCCCCAATTAATAAATGGCCAAAGGATATGAGTAGGCAGTTTTCCAATGAAGAAATCAAAACAATTTATAGTCATATGAAAATAATCTAAATCATTACTGGTTAGAGAACTGTCAATGAAAACAAACTAGAGGCATCACTTTACACCTAACAGATTAGCTAAAATGATAGAAAGGGAAAGTGACAAATGTTGGAGGGGATTAGGAAAAACTAGGACACTAATTCATAGTTGGTGTAATAGTAAAATCCAACCATTTTGGACAGCAATCTGGAATTATGCCAACAGTTATTCAACTACCCAGACCCTTTGATCCAGCAATACCACCACATGGTCTATCTCCAAAAATGATTAGGGGAAAAGGAAAAGAACCAAATGTTCTAAAATGTTTAGAGCAGCTCTTTCTGGTGGGAAAAAAGTCAATATTGCAAGGATGTCCATCAATTGGGGAATGGCTGAAGAAGTTGTGGTACATGAATGTGATAGAATACTACTGTGCTATAAGAAATGATGAGCTATAAGATTTTAGAAAAACATGGAAAGATTCGCTTGAAATACTGAAAGCGAAAAAATGAGCAGGAAGAAGAGAACATTATACATAGCAACAACAATACTGTATACCATAATAATACCACAAATGATGGGAATCTTCTCAGTTTCCAATTCTTTGCCACCATAAAAAGAGCTGCTATCAATGTTTTTGTACATATGGGTCATTTTCTCCTTCTCTGATCCCTTCGCACCTAAGAGTAATACTGCTGGACCAAAGAGAATGTGCACAGTTCAGTAATTTTTTCAGCGTTATTCCAAAGTGCTTTCAATGGCTGGTCCAAGTTGTAGATCCATCAATAGCAGGGGCCATCTCAAGTCTTGCTGATCTCTATCTTGCCACTGGACTCAAATGGCTTCAGAGGAGAAAGTGAGGCTAGCGACCTTGTACAGCCCAACCTCACTTAAATCCAATTCATTTGCAAGTCATGGCATTATCTTCCTGATGACATGGCCCTCTTCAGGAATGAAGGACAAACAATAATCTGTGAATAGTCTGAGCTGCCCCACTGGGGACCCAACTGGTAGTTCCACTTGAGCAACTAAGCTCCTTCCTCTCCTCTTCTTTCCCTCTACCTCTCCCTGTGTCCACACGGGCTATCAGGCCCCTGGGATTTACTGGCTAGATTTCTTTCTTAAAGACAATGCCTTAAACCCAATTCACTCTGGTTCTCTATAGGGCCAACAATAAGTCCCAGTCCAAGCACCACTTGGTGGTCATTGTTTGGGCTCTAGTAGCTCAGGGTGAATGTAAATAGAAATTGTTTGCATTTTGGCCAGAAACCCAGAGGACCTTCCCCTTTCAGAATGATTTTATTTTATTTTATTTTTTTAGATAAAAGGGACCATCCCTCCTCCCATTCTTTTTTTTTCTTTTTGGCTAGGCAATGGGGTTAAGTGACTTGCCCAAGGTCACCCAGAAAGTAAATGCTATGTGTCAGAGGTCACATTTGAACTCAGGTCCTTCTGAATCCAGGGCTGCTACTCTATTCACTGAGTCACCCAGCTGCAAACCCAACCTCTCATTTCTAAACCAGCCTTAATCACTGAATGGGGCCTTGCCTCAGTCAAAGAGAGAACTCCTAAAGACCTTAGCTTCAAAAGACAAAGGTCTCCCATTGTATCCCATCTCCAGTCTTCCTGATCTATATCTTGCCCTTGGATCCCTGGGGTGATGAGAACTAGACCCTCTAAAGTTAAAGACCATGTCTTTGAAAGCAACCCAGTCCCTGAATTTTCCCATCCATTTCAGCAGCCCAGACCACTGGCCAAACCAGCCAACTGAGACTACTTAAAGAACTTATCTGACATTCCTTTCACCTGGCCCATCCCAAACTGTTTACCACACACCGTAATCCCATCCAGACTCTTTCAGGGTTCTTTTTTGTATGTAAGGATCAATCTCATCCCATAAAGTTGCAGGACCCAGGGAATCTTGCCTGCTATGTTGGCCTTACAATAAACCTTGTCTTATGATTGGAAGAAGGTTAGAATGCATGAATTCATTCCATTCTGGGGTTCCCAGCAAACCAAAGCACAATCAGAAATGTTCATGTGCAAGATGGTTATCCTCTTGTTGGCCTTTTGGAGGGAAGAAAAGAATCTGAAACTCAAAATTAAAAAAACTAATAAATGTATGTTTTTTTATGGGGAGATGATAAATCGGTCTCTATGGTGTCGTTTAGTTCTAAATATAATTCTCTGATGCCCACAATTTCTAGTCTTGCAGCACAGGACAAAGAAACCTATCCCAGGGTCTCTGGCCTGAGATGCTATCTCAGCAAAGCAGCAAGTGGCACTCACCTTCCCGGGCCTGGAAGTCAGGGCAGGAGCCATTCCCTCTTCCTCCAGGCTGTCCTCCTAGGGCAGAGCAGAGGCCATCGAAGGTAGAGCTGGGGAGGAAAGGAGAAGCAGGAGAATGAGGGGTCACGCTGGGGGTCTGCCCTGCTCAGACCAGACATTCCCACTTCTGCACTGTGGGGAGATCAGGGAGCGGGGCAGGAGCTACGGGTGGGGGTAGGGGTGGGAGGGGGCCAGAAGAAAAGGGTCATTTCTCTGTTGGGGGCGGGGCTGGGAGGGGGCCAGAAGGAAGCGGTTATTTCTCTCCTGGGGAGTGGGGGGGACGCTGTCCTTGGGCCAGTATCTCTTTAAAGACAAACCGGAGGACTGACAGATGACCCTTTCAGCAAGGGGAGGAGGGCACGGGGCCCCGGCAGCATCAGGGAAGGCTTCCCGGAGGAGGAGCTGCCCAGGAGGATGCTGGGAGGAGGAGATGAGGCCAGGGGAAGTCTGCACCAAGGACCAAACAGACACTCACTGGGAGCACATTCCCTCGGACTCTGGGCAGAGGCCTGGAGCGGCAGGCCCTGACCGGGGTCCCGGGAGGCGGGCGTGGCTGAAGGAGGATTAGAATCAGCCCCCAGGCTCGGCCTCCGCCCGGTCGGCCTCAAACCCCCGCACCGCCCCCCCCGCCACGCACTGAGCGCCCCCAGACTACTGGGAGCCCCTCGGGGGCTTCCTTCCTCCTCTGGCGGACGCTCCTCCCATTTCCCGTGTGCTGCCCGACCAGCCCCCGCTGCTCCGACCCCGCCGCACCCCGCAGCCGGCTCCGCCTGGGCCTGGCTCCGCTCTCGGCCCCCGCTCACCCCGTCACACGTCAGCTCAGGGAAGAGAAGGAGAAGCGGGAACCACCAAGCGTGGAAAAGGCAGCGAGAAAAAGAAGCGGAAGTCTCGTACTAAGACGGAAGTCCCTCTCGCCCGGGACCTTGGAAAATGCCCCTGGGGCGAGCACGGCCTTCTGGGAATCGTAGTCTGGAGGCTGAGGCGCCTTCTGCGCATGGGCCCGGGGCAGCAGGAGCGGTCAAGGGGGGCGCCAGCCCCAGCTGGGACCGCGCGGACGACGGAAGGCTTGGCTTTGCCCTGGGCTGTGCTTTTGGAAAACGATGTCTGGGAAAAGCCGAGGATCAAAGAAGGGCCGGGCCCTGTCTGGGGTCCGTGGGATGAGGATCACGGTCACGGGGAGAAGGCAGAGCCGGGCTGTGCTCCTTTGGGTCTGGTTCCTCCGTCAAGGAGACCGACCCGAGGGAAACCAGGAGACGTGGAGGGCGTGTAGCTGTGCCTGGGGAATGCCCGTCGTCTGATGGATGGGCTCAGTAAAACTAAGAGCTAACGTTTAGGGGGAGCTTCCTGTGTTCCAGGCACGGCCGAGTACTTTACAAGGGCTGTCTCTTCTCGTCCTCACACCACCCTTGGCAAGCAGGGACTGTTAAACAGACCCTATTTTATAGGGTGACGTGACTTGCCCAGGGTCACGCGGCTAGCAAGTGCCTGAACTTGGAATTGAACTTAGGACTTCCTGATTGCATGCCCAGAACTCCATCCACAGCCTAGAAAAACTCTTGAGGGTCATCCCCTCCCAAACTGATTCTTTTGTGAAGGCAACCTAGGCAATTTTTTGCCTCCATTCTTACCTAGCCTTTAATTACTGAATGGGTGTTGCTTCAGATAAACAGACTGGGGAAAGACCTTAAAGCAAATTCACTCACAAGTCATGACAAATCCCCTCCTGATGTCATTTGTCAAAAGGTAGTCAGATTTACAAAATATATTATGTGAAATGTATTTTATATCATAAGCTCATAATTTTACCATGGATTTTTATTTTCAACAGGATGGGGGGGATGATTGAAAATGTCTTCTCACTTCTGACATCCTTTTCTCATGCATGACTTTTAAGTAGAAATTATAAAATACAAGAGTTTACTATATCTATCTCTTAAGCAATAAACATGTATTTATTTCTTTATTGCTTCCCTAGGTCAGAGAAAATGTTTTTCTAAAAATTGCAGGGTTTTTTTTTTAATTTGTTAAAAGATTTATCCCCATTACATATAATGATTGCTGATGGTTTTTGATAGATGCTATCTATCATTTTAAGGAGGACTTCATTTATTCCTATGCTCTTTAGTGTTTTTTTAATAGGAATGTATTGTTTTTTGTCAAATGCTTTTTCTGCATCTATTGAGAAAATCATGAGTTCTATTATGTCTGTATCCCAAAGAGATTATAAAAACAGCAAAAGGACCCATATGTACCAAAATATTTATACCAGCTCTTTCTGTGGTGGCAAAGAATTGGAAATTAGGGGGATGCCCATTCATTGGGGAATGGCTGAACAAGTTGTGGTATATGAATGTAATGGAATACTATTGTGCTATAAGAAATGCAGGCAGACTTCAGAAAAACCTGGAAAGACTCATATGAACTGATGGTGAATGAAATGAGCAGAACCAGGAGAACGTTGCCCACAGTACAGCCACACTGTGTGATGACTTTGATAGACTTGGCTCTTCACAGCAATGCAAGGATCTAAGATGACTCCAAAAGACTCATGATGGAAAATGTATCCACATCCAGAGAAAGAACTATGCAGTCTGAATGCAGATCAAAGCAGACTATTTGCTCGCCTTTTCTTTGTTGTTTTGTTTTATTATTTCATTTTCGTGGTTCCTACCATTAGTTCTAATTGTTCTTTACATCATGACTAATGGGAAAATAGGCTTAATATGAATGTATAAGCAGGGCCTATATAAGATTGTACACTGTCTTAGAGTGGGGGGGAAGACACAACGGGTAGGGGAGAAAATTTAATTCAGACTCTCAAGGTTTCTCAAAGTATGCCATCATATCATCTGTTTATTCCTTCAATTTCTTTTTCATATCTTACAGCTAAACCAACCATTTTCCAGTACAATATGGGAATTGGAATGGAGTTAATGGACATCCTTGCTTTACCCTTGATCTTATTGGAAAGGCTTATAGTTTATCCCCATTATAGATAATGCTTACTCTTTGTTTTAGAAAAATGCAAGTTATCATTTTAAGAAAAGTTCCATTTATTTCTATACATTCTAATGTTTTTGATAGTCATGGGTACTGTATTGTGTCAATAGCTTTTTCTCAACCTATTGTTAGAATCATTATCTTATTGCTTTTCTTATTGATATGGTCAGTTATGCTTACTATAATTCTTATGTGGAAGCCACAATACATTCCTTGCAAAAATACAGCCTGGTGATGGTGTGATTTTTGTGATATATTGCTGTAATCTTCTTCCCAGGCTTTTATTTAAATTTTTGCATCAATATTCATTAGGAAAATTGGTTTCTAGTTTTTTTTTCTTCTGTTTTTGTTCTTCCTGCTTTAGGCATCAAACTTTTTTTGTGTCATAAAAGAAATGTGATAGGATGTCTATACTTTTTTGAAAGTTTATATGATGCTGAAATTACATGATATTAAATTATCATTACAACTACTGAGTACAATTTGCTTATAAATCCATGTGATCCGGTGTTTGTTTTCTTAGCAAGCTCATTTGTGGCTTGTCCAATTTCTTCTAATATAGGGCTACTTAGGCATTCTATGTGCTCTTCTGCTACTCTGGGAAACTTATTTTTGTAAATATCCATTTCATTTATGTTTTCAGTTTTATTGGCATATAGCACAATAAAATAGCTCCAAATAAATGCTTTAATTTCATCTTCACTGGTTCACCCTTTGCTGTCTTGACACTGGCAAATTGTTTTAAAGAATCAAATTATTCATTAGTTTATATATTTTTAAAATAAAACCAGCTCCTACTTTTGTTTATTAGTCCAATGGTTTCTTCACATTCAATTTTGTTAATCCTACATTTGATTTTTCATGATTTCCATTTCAATGTTTAATTTGGGAATTTTAACTTCTTTTAGGTTTTTTTTTTTTAGTTGCATGCTAAATTCATTATTCTGCTCTTTCTCTCTTTTACTGTTTCAAAGATTTAGAGATATAAAAGTTCCAGTAACTGCTGTTTTGGCTGCATCCCACATATTTTGGTATGTTTTCTCATTTCTGTCACTATCTTTAATGAAATCAAGTGTTTTTATCATTTGTTCTTTGCCAACTCATATTTTAGGATTAATTTATCTAGGCTCCAGTTAATTGTTAATTAATGCTTCAAATTATATTGAAAATAATTTTTATCATATTATGGTTTAGAAAAGGTCCCTTTACTATTTCTGCTTTTGTTGGATGGATTTTGAGGTTTTTAGTTCCTAATAACATGGTCAGTTTTGGGGAAGGTGCCATGTACAATAGAGAAATAGGTATCATCCTTTACATTCTCATTCAATATTCTCCAGAGGTCTATCATGTATAAATATTCTATAATTCTGTTCAACTCCTTAACTTGTCTCTTCTTTATCTAGGTCTGAAAAGGGTAAATTGAGGCCCCCCACTAGCATAATTTTACTGTCTATTTCCTACTGAAACACATTTAACTTTTCCTGTAAGAATTATGATACTATGCCACATGGTGCATATATGTTCCTATTGATATTCATGGTATCTTTTGGCAAAATGTACTTACCTCGATTATTTCTTTTAATCAAATCTATTGTTACTTTTGCTTTGTCTGAGATCATGACTGCTAACTCTCTGGTTTTTTTTTTTTAATTTTAGCTCAAGCACAGTAGATTCTGCATGTATCTTTGTGTTTCAAGTGTATCTCTTGGGAACAATATCTTTTCAGATTCTGGTTTCTAATCCATTCTGCTATTACCTCTATTTTATGAGTGAGTTCATCCCATTCACATTCATAGATTGCAAACTGGGTATTTCCCTCTATTCAATAATCATCTATTTAACCTTGTCTCTTTGTATTTACCCTGTCCCTTCCTTAAATGTCAGATTTGTTTCTGACCACTGCCTCCCTCTTATTACCCATCCCTTTTTCTTTGCCCTTTCTCCCTGAATTGCCTGTTAGGTAAGACAGATTTCTGTATCCTACTGATTGTATATATATATATTTTTCCTATTTGAACCAGTTCAGATAAAAGGTTCAAGTGATGTCTGGTCACCCTCTCCCCATTTGCCCCTACATTTTAACAACTCTTCCTTGTGTGCCTCTTTTATAACATAAATTTCCCCATTTCTAGTTTTGATCCAGAAGAACAAAAAGGTCAAGAACTTCAATGGAATCAATGTGAAAAAAATATGAAGGTGCCATAACATTATTGCATTTCTCATTGTATTAGAAAACAGTAATCATCAAAATAATTAGGTACTGGGGCAGCTAGGTGGCACAGTGGATAGAGCACTGGCCCTAGAGTCAGGAGGACCTGAGTTGAAATCCAGCCTCAGACACATAACACTTAACTAGCTGTGTGACTCTGGGCAAGTCACTTAACCCCAATTGCCTCACCAAAAAACAAAACAAAGCAAAACAATTAGCTACTGACTGAGAAACAGAGTGGCAGATCAATGGAATAGATTAGTTCCACAATACACAGTAGTAAATGACCATGTTAATCTATTGTTAGATAAATCCAAACATGTAAGCTGTTGGGACCAGAACTCACTATTTCACAAAAATTGCTGGGAAAACTGGAAAGCAGGTTGGCAGAAACTAGGTAGAGACCAACATTTCACATACCATATACAAAGATAGAGTCAAAATGGATACATGATTTGGACATAAAGGGTCATTCCATGGGTAAATTAGAGGAGCATGGAAAATTTTATGTGTTAGATCTCTGAATAAAGGAAGAATTTGTGACCAAAGAAGAGATAGAGAGCATCATAGAATATAAAATGGAATCTTTTGATTACATTAAAGTTTTTGCACAAACAAAGCTAATGCAGCCAAGATTAGAAGGAAAGCAGGCAACTCAGAAAAAAATTTTATAGCAAGTTTCTGTGATAAAGACCTCACTT